ATCCACTTTCTCGTCAATTTGGAGTTTCGCGTCTTTAATGGATTCGGGAGATTTAGGCATTGTAGATGTGAGAGCCTCTTTCTGATCATCTGCGTTCTCGACAATTTGTAGTTTCGCGTCTTTAACAAGTTCGGAAGATTTAGGTAATGGAGATGTGAGAGCGACTTTCTGATCATCTAGTTTCTCGACAATTGGTAGCTTCGCGTCTTTAATGGACCCGGGAGATTTAGGCAATGGAGATGTGAGAGCCTCTTTCTGATCATCTACTTTCTCAACAATTGGTAGTTTCGCGTCTTTAACAAGTTCGGGAGATTTAGACAATGGAGATTTGAGAGCCTCTCTCTGATCATGTTCTTCTTCGACAACAATCGGCAATTTCGCGGCTCTTATAGAATCAACAGATTTAAGCATTAGCAATGAATGAGACTCGTTTACGTCATCTTTTTTAATTTCGACAGGCGTAAGTAATAGAGAAGTAGGACTCTCATTCACGTCATTTTCATTTCCAGCAATCGGGGATTCTGCGTCTATAGATTTCGGTGCTTTATGATCCAAAGGAGTCATTTTCATATCTACTAGCTTCTCGAGATTGGGCAATGTTGCGTCTGCCATAAATGCAGAAGATTTTAGTAACGGAGACTTAAGATCCTCTTCCACGTCAGCCGACTTCGCGGTAATGGACAATTTTGCCTCTCTAGTAACTTTGTGACATATAGGCGACTGAAATTTAAGATCTTCTTCCACTTCAACGAACTTTTTGGCGTCACTCTCAGTTTTCACATAATGTACCTTGCTATGAACTGGCAATTTCAAGTCTGCAATTGGGTCGGAAGATATGGGGGAATGTGGTTTAGTAGCGATTTGCACGTCATCGATCTTCTCACCAATAGGTGAGTCGAGCGGCTTTAGCGATGGGTATGTAACTGCCTCTTTCATGTCATCAAGTTTGTTAACAGAGTGTAATTTTATGGTAATTTTCTCCGTTTCGTAGGAAATCTGCCCGGGTTTAATTGTGACTTCAAAAGTTTTTAAATCCTTGATTTTTTCCAACGACTCTGAAGGAATCAGTTGGACCAACTGGCCATCCGGGGTTGGAGTTAAGTCAGGCTTTAGTTCTTTAACATCTTCTCTTATCTGCTTTGAAGCTTCTAAAACTTCCGACATAATTTTTTTTACTTCTGTATTCATGCTTGGATACCGCTCCGTTATTGAAAAGTCTAGAGTTTGAGGAGACGATTTTCTAATTATCGATTCTTCGAGAGTTGAAATGCAAACACTCTGCTCTGATTTGGCCTTTCCTGTTGCAGAATCAATAGGTGATACCAATTTTGCTTCGCCGAAAGCTTCACTAGGTGAATAAGATGTTTTAATATCTGTTCCAATATTATCGGAAAGCGTTGCAATTCCACGTTGTTCGTATAAATGTTTTAGTTTAGAGACCGGCAACTGTGAGCCATTGTCAGTCGTTTCTCCTGAAAAGTCAAGTTTAGGTTCAATGCGAATCTTCACACACTCAGGTTCTACGCATGGCTCGGTAGGAGAGGTCTCTTTTTTCTCCCATTTTTTTCGTTCTTCCTGCACTTGTAGCTGATATTCCATCTCTCTTTGCTTTTCTTCCAGCACTTGTTCTTCCAACGATTTCAGGCAAACCAGTATCTCTTGCTCAGTATACTCCGGCGCTGGAATATCCTTCTTTTTAGGCGAAGGCTTCTTCACTGGTGTTCCTTCTTGTGATTTAGATATTAGCTCTTCGAATAAGTTTCTTTTATCACGTACCGATCGAAATACTTCATTTTCATCCTCATCTACATCTCCTACATGCGGTTCTTGGATGGGCATCGTTTCTTCAGATTTAATTAATTGATACTGCTTTTGTTCGGAAGGGATTGAGATTGGCGATTCGTTGGGAACTATTTTTACCTGAGTTTCTAAATTTTCTGAAGTGAACATTTTTTGCAGCTCGGCAATTTTCTTGCCTACATGCTTCGTGTGTGTTGGAGTAGCAGTTTTGCTTACGCTCAACGATTTTTCACTAAAGTCCTCAACTTGCTCTTTAACAATATGTTCACTTATAGATTCCATTTTATATTCTTCATCATCCACTTGAGCCAGGGTCTCTGTGGAAGCTCTCAACGCTTCTTCTTCCTTCATACTCGAGATTTCATCTTCCGAGTCTACAATGTCTCGTTTTGGTTTCCTAAACTCACTTTTTATAGCATGTCTAAACGCATGCTCCTCGAGTTGTTTAATTTTGGCTTTCACATCTCCCGATCCTCGCCTCTTCGCCAAAATTTCTTCGTCTTTTAATATATCCGCAGCAGACAAAATGGGACTTTCTTCTATTTTAATGGGACTATTTGAAGCGTCTTTGGTGTCAACGTGATCAGTTATTGTGCCTGCATCCGATGTGTCTATATGAGAAGTAACCAAAGAAATCGAATCCCCAAATTCAATGGGACTAGTTCCAGTTTCAATCAGCAGAGTTAAGTCGTCAATTTCCTGATGAAGAGTTTCATCGGCTTGAATGGGGCTGAGGCCGGCATCCGTGCACTCACCTTCTTCGACCTCAACAGTATCAGATATGAAGCCAGTCGTTTGAATGCCTGGGCCTTGAATGTTTCTTCCAATGCTTAATGTTTCGGTTGTTGTGCCTCTGGTTAACGAAATGCCTGTATCGGTTACATGGTGTGAAGCACTGCCCTCACTAGCAGAAGAAGCAATTTCTGATAAATCGTTTGTAGTCTCATATGTGTAGACTTGTTTAGTGCCACTAAAGTTAACACTTTCTTCGCGCTTTTTTGTGGGGGAAATAATGTAATCATCCATTTGAATCGTTTTATCTGAAGTTAAAGGTTCTACTTTATCAGTACCCGCCGTAGTGCAAAAACCGACATCAAATTTCTCGGAAGTTTCAGTTCCCGCATTGTTATCGCGTCTAATAGTAGTTACAGAAATGTGTGACTGAGATTTAATTGAAATTTCTACGTCCTTGCGACCATAAAGTGTCAACCGACTTTCTGCTGTGGCAGATGCATCTTTCGTTTTGACCTCTTTACGACCAATTATAAGTTCCAATGTGGGCTTGTTAGCCTGGTCAATGGGAGACACGTCAGGAGTAGGATCTAGGTCATGTTTGGAAGGGGGAGAAGTGCTCTGGTGGACTTGGATAATATGTTTGTCTAGTTTTGGTAGTCCTGGTGTTTTGCCTTTTTGCTTGTCCGAGTTAGCATCTTCAGAATAATCGTGCTTTATTTTTTCCGAAGCGCTCGCTGTGATTTTTACTGAGCTTTCATCCGTCTCACAACTAGTGGATGCAATCTTGTCTGTATAGTTAAGAGTAACTTTTTCTGTTGTCGTTTTTAAATACACATGTTCCTCAGTTGGGACAACTTTATCTTTACCAGCACCTCCGTGCAATCTCTCAACAGTCTTTCTCTCTTTCCGTTCCCAGTCTTCAGGTCTCTTCGAGTCTTTTGCGCCCTTTTCTTCTGGCGACGTATAGCATTTCACCAGAAGCGCATCGGGCCTTACCAAATCTTTGCTTGCAATCTTAAAGCTATCTAAACCTATTTTAACAATTCCAGTATAATCATTATCTCTATTGGAAGGCAGTAATTCTGAGGTAGAATTAAGCGTATCTATCACATCGGCATTATCTAAATCTTCAGTGGAGGCGAGGCGCTTCCGTTGTCCGATAAAAAGTTTAGCCTGGTGCTCGTAGTACCGAGTTACGTCTTCATAGGCGGTCACTTCTTCCGCATCAATGTCGTGAATTTCTTCGCGATAAAACTCGTACTTATCGAGGTATTTTGACTTAGATTCTGGTGAGCTGTCACCCGGCGTAGGCGTTTGTAGAAGATATTGATCTTCACGGAAGCCGTCAGTATCCAAAGAGTCATCGTCATCTTGCGGCGACGCACTCGACGCTATCGCAAGGAGAAACATTGGGTTGGAAGAGGAATTTTCAAAGTTGTACCAAAATACGTCTGCGTTTTACACAAAGATATTTAATTTAACATGACCCGAACTCGACGAAGCCGTTTAATAACCAATTCAGACCAACTATTCCTTGGATCTGTTATGTACCAGTTTTTTTAATTCACTTAAAAAGGAACAAACAATTTCATTTTTGCCCTTTTTTGTCATATTAAGTTTTTAGCGACCATTTTAAATAAAACACATCCTTCTCAGGATTCAAGAATATTTTCGTTTTGCAATTTTCGTTAATTCTGATGGGACCATTCGACGCACTGCCATTACAGCGAATCGACAAATTTTGAATTTGGGATTTTCGACAAGTTTACGAAAATTGTTTTCAATTACTTCATGCGTTAAATTTGAGAAACCAAGCCATTTTCCAAGACCTGCTCAAATTCTCCGATTTCCAGGTTTAGAAAAGTATGAACAATTATTATCTTTTGTAAAACATCATAACAAAATAAACAGAATTCGTAGGTGAAAAGTAACCAAGCAAAGTCTTTTTACGGTCCACAACATAACGGATTAAGCAAAAAAAATCTTTCGATTTAAAAAATGCTGTATAATTATTATAAAATAATAATATATGTATATATGTAAAATAATATAAAAAGTGAAGATCAAATCTTAACCACCCAATAGTTAAAAAACGTGTTTCTCAGAACAAAGGAATAGTAGGTTTGAACCAGTTGCCCTGTACAAATTAACAATACTTTGGAATGTTTATCGTAGGAAAACCCAGCTATCACCTGCCTTCCTGAAAAAAGGCTTGAGATATGGAATTAGAACTTTTTCCAGTTTCATTGTTGTCGGCAAAAAAATTGTGCAAATTTAACGTAATTGGCATTATCTACGAAAAGGGGAAAAATACGAAATAACTTAAATAGAGGCAGACTTGTTTTCATTAGTTGAAATGTACCTGAAACTTCGCAATCCCATTGAACGATTAATTTTTTACCTAGAAAAATAAGTTTCAATTACTTTGCTTTAATAACTGCAGTTCCCAAATACAAAGAACAGCTAAACCCGAGATCCCTTTAAAACCCTAAATGAATACAGCGTCAACTTTAAATTGCGCTACATATTCAATGTCTCCATTCAGCGAAGGAAACATCCCCAATAATCCAAACTGAAGGATGAGACTGAGAAAAAATTAACATCCCTAAATCTTTCCAAATATAAACACTTCGAGCCATTTAATAGTTGGAAATCAGTTCGTAACTAGTCCATTCAGTCATTTTGTCTAATAAGTGCACTCCTTTATTATCCGCCTTCGATTATTCGAATATCCTACAATAAACCTTCCATAAGGATTAAATTTGTCAGAGCTCGTCCTAGAGATTTAAAAAGGATTGCTGAAAACACCTGTTTGTGAAAAACAGCAGAAATATTTGGTTGCTATGTATAAAATGTGTATATTAACAATGGTTATAAAGAACATGGTTTAAGGTTTATGTGCAACTGTTTCAGTAACCGAAATGTCAGAAAATAAATCATTAACTCTCCTGCTCAAACATCCTTCGAGCATACAGGTATGAAATATGAGAAAAGGACAAAATGTGTACACTTTTTAGGTGGGATATAGAAAGTGAAGTGGATACGACAGCTATTCAGAATATTTATAAAGCCGGCAATAACATTCCGCATGTTGTTTAAAGCGACTACTGTTTTACGATCCCGATAAGCTAATAACGTACTAGTACTTTTTCATATTATGCTCAACTAGCAGAGAGACAAAGCAACATAACATATGTGTAAAGGCTCTCCATTATCAAAAAAAATTATTTTGATTGCAAAGTAGGTATATCATTACTGACCTTTAATGCAGCCTTCCCTACTAGAAGAACTAGGCATGGCTTATTCTATTGAAGATACATACTTTGCTCATTTTTACATTCTGAGCATGTCCATGAAGCACACCAACTGATAATGAACATTAAAAATGAACAAAATATGTTCTCATGCACACACAAAACACAATAGATTGAAATAACCTGTTTGACCAAGATTCTGATTTCCTGGAGTTTGCAAAAACGGCTCATCATTGAAAAAGGACATTTTTAAAAAACATGAGACAAAATGCAAGAAATTATTAAATTTTACAAAACAAGTTGTGTTTTACATATTTAAGTTGAGGTGTGAATGGGATGGCTTGTGCATGTTGAGAAATAGGTAAGGCTTGACCTTACCTATTCCTTGTCAAATAAACAATTTAAAACTTTACAAGTTTTTCAAAGCAAACGGAAATAATTTTTACATGTGGACGTTTTAAATTATTTATTTTCATTAATAAGCTAGGTGTAAATCACACATCATTCCACAGTTCACACGATAAAGAAACCAAACAATCTTGCAAAGGAATGAAGGAATTATAAAAAGCCCATGCAATATAATACAGAACATTAAATAAATGTGCAGCAGTTTTTTTACAAATTCCCAATTTTTTTATATTTAACCAAAAAATGTAAAAATGGAATTAAAATACTAATCGTGCCTTGAACAAAATAGATCGTCAAATGTTCAAGACATGAATATACAAATTGTGGTGACTCAAATTAAAAACTTCTATAATTAATTCTAGTCCGATTGTTAAGTTCCATAAAAAAAATATTGGAAAAAGCAAATTCAAGTAAGGATATTTATCCTTAGTGTAGGTGCGAATAGGATCGGTCGCCTTGTCAACCACATCGCTCAAAAATATACAGGCAAAAACATAAAAAGGGCGTCAACTTATCGGCTTTTACAGCGTGGTATTCAACTAATGTGACAAAATTCACTGATATATTTTTTAAACAAAAAAAAAATCGTTTGCGTGTTTCTTTAGAGCGAAGAATTTAAATTCCTATTAGGTAGCTTGTAAGTACAAGTTTGGCAATCTATAATATGGCTTTCGTTGCCAATATCTCGTTCTCCGATATTTCTTAATAAAAAAATACGTTTTTTGTTCAAGCCGATATCTCACCGGTTTCAAAATATTTCACATTGAAACCTCTAATGATTTTTTGATCTAAATAACTCCAATTGGATCTCTAAATAAGAAACATGAAATAGTATTTATACAAGCACGTTTAGAAATACTTTTCCAACTCAGTAAAAATTTAGAAAGTTATTATTTCATAAAAGTTGTTCAAAATGAATTTTTGACTTCAATATATTTATTGAATTTGGAAATCCGTGAGAAATGTAGACTGGAACCACGTACACATTTGTTGCTTAAAAAATATCAGGCGGCAAAATATTGCCTACAAAGAAAGCTATATTTAAAACCCAACAAATAATAGCAAATTTGGCCAGCTCCATTTAAGAAAACATAGTTTTTGGTAATAATAAAAATGATTAAGAATTTATTTAATAAAGAAAAATTTTGTTCACATTTTACTTTATCAGAATACAGACACAGGGTGTTACCCTGTGCCTCGGGAACTATTACCTTTTATATAAGACATTGTTTCCTGAAACGCAATATTTATCCCAAAAAAATGTCAGTGAATTTTAGTTGAGCACCAATACTGCTGAATACCGGATAAAAATATAGAACAGATCACAGAAAATAAAATGTTACGAAAAATAAAAAATCCAAAAATAATTGAAAAGTTGAAGAAAAAGTAGATCAAACGTTTCAATTCAATTCAACTTACACGGTAAGTTACTGGTTTGTCATACAGTAAAAAATTATCTGCGCATTTAGCTTCAGTTGATAAATTAAATTTCGATTCGTTTTGTTAGAAAGAACAAGAAGTTCCAAGTGAAGTAACAAACATGACAGTAAAGCAGAAAGGCAAAAATTATAATAAAAAACGGGTGAGAAGAGCGAAAGTATTGAGATACCAGCGCAAAGCAATTAACTCTAACATTTTCACCAAACATGATTTATTTTCTGTTAAGATTTCTGTTATAATGGCTGTTATTGGTTGTTTAGTAACGGCTCTTATGGCAAAAGCAATTGCACCAAAGCATAATGTTGCACATTAAGTGTTTAAGGGAAAATATGTGTTAGTTCTAAAACTATTGGTTTTCATTCAAAACCGGATTTGTAATTGAGTGATTTCGTAACGGTTTTGAGTGAAATACAATAAGGGTGTCAATAAAGATTAGGTAATATAATATCAGAGTAAAAGCAAGAAACAGATCTACAACACAATGTAGTCAAAAATACTCGAAGTTGTAGACCATGGTGAAATTTTATAAAAAATTACTAAACAAAAATATCTTTATCCGCCTGCAAACTCCATGGAATATGGCATATCAATATCGACGGGGTACATGACAGAGTTAGTTACAGACCCACAATAAATACCACAAATTCACTTACCTACTTGTAGTAGCTGAAAAGTTAACACGTAAACCGATTGAACGAAAGTTTCCGAACTACTAAGTTGTCAAGTTTAGACTTTGTCTAATTTAATTGAATATAATTAGGAAGCCTTTTAAAGAATATCCTCGCTTGCGAAAATCAATATTTACCGTCTAGGAGACTCATACGTGTTTGAAGTTAAGCGTATTATGAAGTTGTAGCAAATTAGGTCATAGAAATGGTCTTGAAGTGATACGGAGAAACGTTTTAAATTCATTACGCAAATCTTAAAATAAAATTGATGAAACACACACAAAAATATACAATGTCTTGTATTGATATGCCATATTTAATACCCAAAATATTCATTTTCATGCCGGTCAAATATAATTGAAGAAACTATATGGCTATGAATATACATGAATATTTCAAATATTGTCTTTCTACTAAGCTTGTTGCTGATTTACTCAACTACACACAAGTGAAAAACAAACAAACTCACCTTGGGCTGAGGCGACTTGTCGTTGATTCAAAAAGTCAGCTGGACTTGGTGGCGGTGTCTTGGAGAAGTTGGGAGATTTTGGATCTAAAACACACCCCCCCACTTCTCAAATACACTTCTACAAATACAACTTAGACTCTTAAAAATTTAAGTTTTTTTTTAGAAATTGTA